ACATCATTAAAAGCATTCTGATAACTTAAACAGCAAGGAATGAGCTAAATCCACTAATGATGGTCCTCCTTTGGAGCTCCAAAGGAGCTCACACCAGCTGCCCAGGCTCCTACAAGCTCATCCAGCCTTTTCTCGTCTCTCCAGGCTTGCTCCCCACACAGTGCCCAGCCAGTCCCAAGAGCCTTTTCTCTTTTTTTGGGACGCTGAAACAGCTCTGATGTTCCAGTACCAAAAGCTGCCTCTCTGGCACAGTGAGGTGGTTCCCACGGGGAAACTTTGGGCAAGAAGTAGTTTCTCAAGAGCTCATAAGCCCAAGGACCAAGTCCCCCGAAGAACTAGGAGGGTCATCTCCAGCAGCACCCTTTCCGATTTGCCCCTTCCAGGGGAACAGAAAATCACACAAACATTAAAAGCCAGTGGAAAAAAGCAAGCAAACCAACCACCAAATACACACAAATCCAAGCCATACTATGCTATATATACAGCTCTCCCAGGAAAGAAGAAAAACAAACATACAAGACCAGTGTTAACAGCGTTGCTTGAAGCACTCCTCCTGGCGATGGGGTCAGCAGAACCCTCTCTGTAACCCAGCTACCTGAAGTCCTTGCTTGAATCTCCAAGGCAGCACAGTCTCCCTCCCAGCCCAGTGCCCACCCCTGGACTAGGCCATCTCTGAAGATGCAGAACTGGCAGCTAGATAATGCTGAGCACTGACATCTCTGATGGAGACAGAGCCAGCTCAGAAAATTTCCACTGCAGCATCCATCTCTCATTATTAAAAACCCTCTTTTTCCATGTTGAAATGCTGCCTCTAAAATCCTATCATGTCGCAGTCTCACACCAGCTGCTCTGCCAATAACAACGGCGCACTTCACGTGTTTGTTCCAGACATCTGCTTTTCCCAAAGATACTCCCAGCTCAACTATCAGCTTTGGGTCCTCAGAGAGCTCCCACAGCCACCGCATCAATGAAGCGTGCATGTCCCACTGACCTTCAGCCGGACCTACCTGCAAGTCATTAATCACTGCTGAAATCCCCATCCATTACCAAGCTCCACAACAGGAACACCGAGAACATGCGATGTGCAAACAGTTTTGCCGGCCGGTTTCTGGAACTTAAAGCCAGAAGCCTTTTTATTTTTTTTTAAGCTATACAGAGGCTCGTCAGAAAATAATAATAAAAAAAGGCAAAGTGCCACAAATCTGTATTTTATAATCAGCTTTTAATTTTTTTAACCTGTGATTACTGCAATAAAGTGCAACTAAATTCACATGAAATAACACAGCTCTTGCTACAGCCAACATGATGTCAACAGATAAACCTCAGTACAAAATGCTTATCTGAAGACGACCAAAGCAGTTAAGCCATTTATTGTGCAAACAGCCTTCTCTGATGCATGGAACTTCTGGCCAGGGGCCAGTCGATGAGTCAGCGAACAGCAGGTTTGCTATTTCACTTCCAGGAGTCCTGAAGCAGTGCTCAGCTCAGCAGCCCCTCGTAAAGACTGCAGCGATGCTTTGGGATCAGCTGTAACGACACTGATGAGCTCCAGTCCAACCCACGTCTAGACTTGAGCAACTGGGGCATTGCTACTCGGCTATGAAACAGATGGAAGAGAAGTCCAGACAAAATGGGAGCGGGAGAGGGAAAATGCCAGAATGTACACACGGGCATTAAGTATGAAAACACGGGACCGGCTGAGCCAAGAATTACTTCAAGATCTTCTCCATATATAGTAACTTAATCAGCTGTGAACCCAAGAACTACATACAACCAAAATAGGATCTGCAGCCAATTTTTTTGTGAAACAGAGCTGAGGCATGCTCATTTTGTGTAGAGACATTTAATTAGAAAAGTGTATCTGGTTTCATTTTTTCATTACTCTATTAAATAAAAGTAAGTATCAAAGTGGTTATTTCGTCTGGAAAAAAGCCAGCAGTTTCAGTGTGCTTTGAACTGCAGAAGAAAAGCTGTTCATCTAAATCCCTCCCCTTTCCTTCTCCAAAATATACAGGACAGCAACTTTAACTTTACACAGTAAGAAAATATATACACATTACATACAGTAAACATAATCTGTATTTTAAACTTTATACAGCATTAGTGAGAAAAAATACAAACATTAATAAAATTACATACAATATATTCGACAGAGTAAGCAACTGCTACCAGAGGGAATGTGGAGACACTACCAAAGATGGGCAGAGCAAAGGATGGCGTTGCCATAGCTATAGAACACCATCGATTTTTTTTAGCCTAAAGCAGTTCTATTGCCAAAGAAAGACACCCTTTGAGGTAGATTCTTCCAATTCTTAAATAACATGTTGAGATTTAACAAAAAGGGATTTTCTCTGCCCCCATTCCACCTCCCCCTTCCCCCTAAAATGCCACGAGCATAACTTTTGTTTGAACAAAGATAAGCTGATTATCCTGTGAAGGGCACACAGACTCTGCAGTCTTAGGATAACGCTCTAATACTTGAAATGAAAGACAAAACATTTAATACGAATTTGCAAATAAAATATCCTCCCTGTAAGACAGGTGTCCATTCTATAGCAGTGCCTTTATATGTAATATACATACTTCAGTTTGAAGGTTTTTGGTAGTTTTGGGTTTTGTTTGTTTTCTGGTTTTTGTTGTTGGTTTTTGGGGGTCTGGGGGTATTTTTTGTTGTTGTTTTGGGGGTTTTTCTGGTGCTGTTTTGTTTGTTTTAAGCCTTATTTTACATTCTTATCTTGGAAAGTTGTAGGATATTTATCATACAAGACAAAGCAAAGTAATCTACAAAAATTAAAAGGAAACAGTATTATAAAACACACGTGTTGATATTATTAAAAATCTCACTTAAGAGAGTCCCAGTTGGTGCTTCTAGCCAACACCTTAACTTCCTCTTCACATATACACACATCCCACATAGAAACCACAGTGTAAGATTTAAAGAATAGCATTTGCAGAGAGAGCACCAAAGGAGATCACATCTTTCTTTGATTACTTCTCCCACAGCTCTTCGAGCTCTGCGCGCACACTGCCTGCGCAGCAAGGCTTCACACAGAGGCATTCAGGCCTCGTACGGCTTTCAGCTTCTACATACGTGGCCAAATAGAGTCGATGTTTTAGGAATAGTATTTTCTCCAATCAGAGAAACAGCTGAATAACAAATACAGATGTGCTTGTTCTTAAAGAGCAGTAGAACCACACTACTGGTGTAGTAAGATCTCATTTATAACTTGGTCTTATAAAAACACTTCCTCTGCAGTCACATTCACTGCATAAATTCATGTCTGAAGATGAGAAAGTCAAGTTAAAATTAATGCATCAGCGTAAAAACAAATTCTATTTTGTAATTTGATAAAACACAACCATAGAGCAAAGAAGAATCACTTGACGTGGCTGGGCACAGCCGCTCTTAAGCTCCGTTTCTGCCCTCAGGTGAACACGAGAGCAGTCACTTGTTCACATGCAACTGCTGCATTTTGTGACTTTTAGGGACGCTGGAGCATCACACCAATTCTGCTTTGCAGATTAACACGTGCAGGCAATTCCGTTACTCTGCCCCGCTCTGAACCACTTCCTCACCTGCTCCCATCCGGGGAGGTCTAACACTGTTTCTGAACTCCCGCTCAGTGTCACAGGGCAGCTCTTTCCCAGCCACCCTAAAACAATGCCTGCAGGTGTGCACTGGCAGGAAAGCTGATACGTACAGTTTTCTAATGTGTCTTGTGATTAACAACGGAAACGAGAAAACTTCCCTCAGCTTTCAATAAGAAAATATTTCTAGCCAATTCAGACAGAGCTATAGAAATAGCTGCACATTTTTATTTCAATTTAGCTACTTTATTTCTTTAGAAGCAGTGTATTTGTAGTAAAAGCAATGTTAATCAAATTGGATCTTTGTGTTTCTAATATTTGTCTGAATAAAGCTCAACTTCTAACTCAGGTGACTGACGACTTCTGTTCCAACCAAGGTGAAGCTCCATTCTACATCTTCCTTGCTTTCAGAGTTTTTCTGGTATTTTCCCTGAACTAGGTAAGATTTCAGGAATCTGGCTCCCAGAAATCATGCAGTTTTCCCTGAAAAGCAAAAACAAAATAGTAAACAAGTCAGAAAACCAAGAATAGAAGTAAAGAGTAGAGTAGGCAGGTGCTCAGCTTGAGATCACCACAATGTGTTGCAAGTCCCTAGAATTTTATTTGGAAACACTTGCCAGGTTCCTCATATGTGAACTAACTCCAAAAAAAGCAACGCTGAAAGAGTGGCATTGTTATCAACTTCCATCAATTGCTAAGTAGCTTCTGCAGCCATGTGTTACGGTCCAATTCCCTTCCCCTCTGTCACGAGAAATGTCACACACGCTACAGACAATGTCTTTTTTGTACATTGCTGGGAGCAATTAACAGTCTTTACAGACAAATGGCTGATTACACAATTTTTAACTGAAATCAATACTAAGCATTTATGTATAATTTAAGTTTTATATAAGTGATCACCACGCTACTGGAAAGCTAAGGTAGCTTTGTTCAGGGCTCGAACAGCTGGGCTGATCATGTTACAAAAGAAACCACTCTAGACTGGAAGAAACAGCTCTGAACTCTCTCAGTAGGAATGATGCACTATTCCACCAAGGCTAGCTAGGTATCATGAAGGCAAAATATTGGTGAAAGACTAAACACGACATTATTTATGACTGCATACTTTTACAGAGCATGAAAGGCTTTTCCTAATCATTGCCTGAAATTCAACACATCCAAAGGGGCAGGAGTTATCAAGAGCCATTAAACATACGTGGATACAGCCTTGGACTCAAATAGTCTCCAAATCACATGCTGCCAGACCACAGCAGGAAGCACATCTGTGC